GCCATCCTGGAGGAATAAGGGTCCTCGAAGAGAGCCCAGAGCTTGGGCCTCCACCTCCTCCACCAGCTCGCCGGCCTCCCCTCCTCCAGGCACAGCCGCTTGGGCTCGGCCGGTTCGGGGGGTTGGGGGGGTTCGGGGCTTTCGAAACTATCCAGGGCCTCCTCGGCATCCCGGTGCTGCCGGTAATTCATCCAGCAGCAAGCTTCCACGTCGGTTTCGTCGATGCCCCAAAAAGCCAATTCCTCCTCAAAAAGGGGCCCGCAGACGTCGGCGGGGCAGTGGAGCTTGCCGGTGCGGTAGTAATTGAGGACGTAGGCGAAAACGGCCGGGTGGCGGTCGAAAAAAAACTCCCCCGCCGATGGATCGTAATCGAAACGAGCCGCCGCCCCCGGTTCGGCCAAACCGGCCAAACGGGTCCCCGGGAGGGTCTGCAGGGTGCTGCGGTAGGTCTCATGGCGGACCCCCCCGACGTTGATCACCACCTTGTCGCGTTCCGCTTGCCAGCCCATGGCGAGCAGGAGGGGGAGGTGGCGAGGGAGGAAGAGGAGGAGGAGGAGGAGGAAGGGCGAGGAAAAAGGGATAACGAGTCGCCGCCAGCGGCCACCGGCCCCGCAGAGCGGAGGAGCCGCTGCCGCATCCCGCCGCCTCCGCCGCCGCCGCCCGCTCTGCGCAGGCGCGGGGGGAGGCCACGCCCACCGCTGCGAGGTCACGCCCACCGCGGGGAGGACACGCCCACTGCTGGGGAAGGACACGCCCCCCCTCGGGCAGTGTGAACGCGGCCGCGGAGGTGGAAAGCCACGCCCACCGCGGGGGGGAGGACGCGCCTACCAGGACAGTGAGGCCACGCCCCCGGGAGCACTGAGGCTCCGCCCACTGCGGGGAGGACACGCCCACCGCCGGGGAAGGACACGCCTCCCCAGGCAGCGCGAATGGGGCCGCGGGGGGGAAAGCCACGCCCACCAAGGGAAGGCCACGCCCACCGGGGGGAAGCCACGCCCACCGCTGGGGAAGGACACGCCCCTCCCGGGCGGCGCGAATGCGGCCGCGGAGGGGGAAAGCCACGCCCACCGATGGAAGGACACGCCCACCGCTGGGGAAGGACACGCCCCCCCGCGGGGGAGAGAACGCGGCCGCGGAGGGCGAAGCCACGCCCACCGAGGGAAGACCACGCCCCCCCAGGCGGCGCGAATGCGGCCGCGGAGGGGGAAGGCCACGCCCACTGATACAGAGGACACGCCCACTGCTGGGAGGACACGCCCACCGCCGGGGAAGGACACGCCCCCCTCGGGCAGTGTGAACGCGGCCGCGGAGGGCGAAGCCACGCCCACCGCTGCGAGGCCACGCCCACCGCTGGGGAAGGACACGCCCCCCCGGGCGGTGCGAACGCGGCTGCGGAGGGGGAAAGCCACGCCCACCGCTGGGGAAGGACACGCCCCCCTCGGGCAGTGTGAACGCGGCCGCGGAGGGCGAAGCCACGCCCACCGAGGGAAGGCCACGCCCACCGCGCCTACCAGGACAGGGTGGCCACGCCCCCGGGAGCGCTGAGGCTCCGCCCACTGCGGGGGAGGACACGCCCACTGAGGAAAGGGACACGCCTACCAGGAGGAGAGGCCACGCCCCCAGGAGCGCTGAGGCTCCGCCCACTGCGGGGCGAACGCGGCCGCTGAGGGGAAAGGCCACGCCCACTGAGACGGAGGACACGCCCACTGCGGGGAGGACACGCCCACCCGGAGGGGAGGCCACGCCCCCCGGGCTGTTGAGGCTCCACCCACTGGAGGCAGGACAGGTCTCGGGGGGCTACTGGGGGGGGGTACTGGGAGGTACTGGGAGGGGCAAGTCAAAGGGGGATGGGGGCTACTGGGGAGCACTGGTGGCTACTGGGAGGTACTGGGGGGCTACTGGGAGGTACTG